CGTGTCGGACTGCTTCGACTCCATGAGGCGTCTATCAAACGCAGCTTGTTGTTCTCTTAATTCTGCGAAGGCCGCATTTGCTTGTGCTTGAAACGCTTCGGCGCGAATGTGGATGTCGTTCTGCAACAACTCTAGGCGGTTGATATCGGCCGTGTGGATTTGTACTTCCACATTGACCTCTCGGATTCGGTTGGCTTGCACTCCGGATTGATAGCACTGGTTGGCGAGTTTGCCAACCATGACCGGAAGTGCGCGGTCGGCTGATCCCCCGCCTCTCACATCATAGAAGTCTCGGCACATGCCGTAAGGAGGGCGTAAGCTTTGTTGTTGGCTCCAATGATGGAGGTGACTTCCCCACACTGGAGTGGGTCCTTGGAAATTCCTCACGTGGACGGGAGATTGTGGGATTGGTGGATTTATAATTTCTGGCTCCGAATCCGTGCCAGAGTCATCCCCTCCCTCCAACTCTATAGGCTCTTCGTCTTCTTCAGGATCTTCTTCGATCCACCCTCCATTACCTTGGTTGGGGTAGTAGGGGTCATTGGGGTGATGGAATCCCGCCATTTAGACTGTACGAGAATAGAGTTAAAAGTTTACTATAAGCTAGAGCACATGAAACTTACCCTTAAGTTTAATGGTTGACGGCACTCGAATACTCCCTCAGTATTCTTTAGCGATATGCTTTTGGTAAGTTTTAAATTTGTTGTCCATTGCAGACACTCCTTGGCATACGTTAGTCGGCTCTTGGACAAATATAGTTGATCAGGCTATATTCTTCCCAGTTCCGATTACATGTCCCAAGGCGTACCTGTACTGCACAACTTATTTATAATACTTCTAAAGTTATTTACTATGAAAATGTTATTAGTATAAATGAGTGCATGCTTACCTTAAAACTAATTAGGTTTACTTTCAAAAGTATGAATTTTCCTCAGAGTGTTTTTGCCCAGTTGAGTTTATAGTTGTATATCAAAAAGGAATGGTTTTGATATACTTAATTCCCTATAAACAAAGCTCTGATACCAATCTGTCACACCCCCAAACCAGAACGGCGGAAACGTTCGGGGGCGGAGGACGTCATATTCAGTATCATAACAGTTCATAGAAAGGAAAGTACACACCACCATATATATTAAAGTTTCCAAGATGTTTACATAGTTGTATTCATTACATGTTCAAAAGATAAATACATAAACATCATTCAAAAGAAGTAATTAACGCCAGCGCGTTAATCCCAAAAGTTGATTCCCAAACCTGCTTAGCGGTTCCCTGAGAATACAAGTTATTTCAAAGAAAAAGTGTCAACAATTAAGTTGGTGAGTTCATAAGTAGTTTAGAAAAATTGGATGCCATTCCAAAATGGGTGTATATTTTCCAGAAAACGCAGCATTTCAAATGTAAAGAGTTGTGATTTGTTGTGTTGAAAGTGAATGTATTAGATCCAGAAAATCCCATATTTTCCCTAATGGTTGAAATGCGAGTTGTTGTGTTTTCCAAAAAAAAACCCTTATTTTCTTATAAAAGCATGAAATGCATATAAATGTTCGTGTTATAAGTTGTAAATAATTGCACCAGGAAAATCCCTTATTTTCCTATTAGTTGTTTGGTTTGTATGCAGGAGAAACCCTTATTTTCCTAACATAAATGGCAGTCTCTAAGACCGAAAATCGCAAGAAACCGACGTTCTCAAAAGTTGTGTCATAGTTTTATATAATAAAACTATACGAAGATCGCATTTGTTAGATGAAGAATAGTTTTAATAGCTACTCGTTCATAAAAGCATAATACCATAATAATTGTATATCCGATGAGTTTTATAACCATACTAAACATAATATGCCTGTAACGACGTTCTTCAGGCGTCGCAGCGTTATGACAACTGTCACCCCAAAAGATGGACTGTAGCTAACAGTCAGGGTTGCGGGATCATGTCTTCCCGTATAGATCTATACACATTTGACACGTTCTCCGAACGGGAGACTCTGGTTATAGACAGGACTTGCAGCATTACTTTCTAATAAAGAAAAGTAACGTTTGAAGATATACACGTCTCATGGATTCTCAATTAAGTCCGTATTAAAGTGATAGTTTTCTATGCAAAGTTTATCCTTTTTCACAAAGTTTGACAAATCAAAATCATAAGTTTTTAGAATGTATAAAACGACTTAGCAATGAAAGGTACTTTGAAATCGTTATATACTTTGTATAAGTCTAATGCACACAAAGTATGACAAGAGTTTTCCATAATAGTAATGAGTTCCAAGTGATTTATTCGGTAAAACAAGCTAAGTGAAACTTTATAAAATACACGATAATAACCGTATGTTTACTTGTATTCCCCCCTAAAAGAGTATAAAAGCATTTGAAAATGTATTTAAAGTGTGTTTGAAAGGGGTATGAACTCACTTGAAAGCTTGAAGATAGCAAGATGGAAAACCGGGCAGAGTTTTGTCTCGGGAAATGGATTTTTCTCGGAAATCTCGGGATTCCTCGGGAGAAAAATCGACCTTCGGGACTTGCACAAAATGACCAGGGCTTCAGGGTAGTGCGAGCACGGAAAACGAGGTAAAACGCAAGAAAAAGGAGAGAGAATGGGCCATTTTCCCGGGAACCCTCGCATGCTATTTATAGGGGGGCCTGAGAGGCCTCGTACGCGGGGCGTACGCTCGTACGCAGCGCGTACGCGTACGTCATGCGTGACCGAAGCCTCGACTGCCTCGGCCTCGGATGGGACGGCTCAGGCAGTCGGGTCGGATGGGACGGCGGGTCGGACGGGCGGGTCGGATGCCTCGCATAGGGCGACGTGGACGGTTTGAGGCCAAGTTCCTCAGGTACGCGGGGCGTACAGGGGTACGCAGCGCGTACCTCGGATGAGGACGCTGACTCCCCTTCGGATAATACCGAAGTTTTAATAAAAATATATATAAATTAATTATCAAACTTCGAAAATTCATATCTCCTTCATACGAACTCCGTTTTTGACGTTCTTTATATCCCTGCGAAGGTGAGACTACGATCTACAACTTTCATTTAGATTCCGTTGGCAAATTCCGGAATTATTTTTATTATTTATTTATTAAAATGACGTGATTAAGGAATTTCTTTAAAAATTCATAACTTATTCATACGATGTCCGATTTGAGCGTTCTTTTTATGCATGTTTGTAGTTTAACGATATCTACGACTTTCATTTAGACACCTAAGGTCGGAAAGTGTTTTATTGAAACTTTGCGTTTTTACGCAACTTCGTATTGCTGGTTTTTGTCGGAAAACTTAGAATGAGCATAACTTCTTCGTTATAACTCGGATTTTGTGTTATTTATATGTTTGGAAACCTTAAGACGATAACTACCACATAGTGTACTCCAAATAGATTTTTTGAATACATCATTTTTCGATGATATTCTATTTCCTTTCTCAAAGAGGTTACAGGACTCGATTTTTACTGACTTGAAATAACGGGTTGTTACATATGTTTATGATCTTAAATTCGTTATCAACACGAATTGAGTGAAACCCAAAATGCACCACATTTTTACAAATTCGTGGTGAACAATTCAAATGTTCTAGCTTATTCACCAAGGAATTAACTAATGACCACCTTCATGGTTTGTACCCTGAAATCTCTTTTTCTTTTTGTGCGATCTGAATGAAATGTTCTAGTCATAAGACGTTTCTTCCCAATAGTTCTAGTTTTTAATTTTTCTTGAGATTTCTATACTTATTCAAGTCGTTTAAAATAATTCCAAAGTATACTTGTTCTTATGACTACACTGGTCAAACAAGCACTTCATACAAACGTTCAAACATATGTTGAGTTTCAGGCTTAGTTGAAGAAGAAGTCACCTCTTTCGCCTTATTAAAATAAGCCTTTCAATGTTTCTCTGCAAACAAAATATAGTAATTCAACGGGACACCATACAAGCACTTCAAAGTCTCTCTTGACTACGAAGGAAGAGATCGTTGCCCGAGATCCATTTGCTTTATGTATTCAATGACATCACTTGAATCCCTAAGAAAACTTGCTATATTTCTTTATCTTTGGTACACTCTTGCATGAAGATCTTTATGATTTTAAAAAATCTGGTTCGTTGTCCTAATGGTTACTTTCAGGTTCGGAGTACTATAAACGATGATCAATTACAAATGTATAAAACTGCGAAAGTTAGGATCTGAAAGGATGATTCTAAAGGATAAGATTTGAAATTAGGCACGTAAAAATTAAAATGGCTCATGACATCACGTCAGCAGTTACGCCGCCTGACGCATGCCTAACACATGCCAACTTGTTTGTGCTTTTCCAGGTGTTTTTTCTGGGTATTAAAGCGTCAACGGTTTCTTTTCTCTCTCCTAGAGTAAGGTATAAAAGGTTTTTTCTGATTCGTTGCTCATTATCACTCTCAAAGATCTCAAAGTACTCTCGACTATTTCTCTCTCTATTGTTCATCTTCTTCATCAAGCTTCCACCGCCGCTTCATCAAAGACCCCTTCCGTTGCAAAACAGATGGCTTAATCTTCGATTCTCAACCTCAATGCAAACCAGAACCTTATTCTGGAGCTTGTCCCTACCAAATATGACAGATTTCTTCAGCCCATTGTCGAGTGCTTGAGATGCTCTCCACTGTTCGTCACTCTAAAAAAATCGGACATAGTTCCCTTGGTTTATCTGTCCAAGAGGTACTCTACAGCAAGTTATCAAAAGGGTGAAGAGATGGTTACGTTCAAGATCTTCGAAAAGAAAACCAACATCACCAAATGTCGATTCTGCAACCTGCTAGCGCTTCCACGACGTTGTGACCTAGTGGACCCTGATTGTCTCCAACTCTGCCATCTTGAAGATTTTGTAATAGATGGGGTACAAGGAAACACGGATTGTCGTCTGAAAGTTCAAGAAACCAAACATACCTCTGATGTGGAACGAACTTTTCATCCTTATCTTCAAGAGTTTTTCTGAGAGGGTTATTGGCTCCAACTATGCCAGCAAACTTTTTATGACGATTATGTGTGTGATCTTCTCCAACATCAATATGGACTATGGCTCAATGCTTTGGGCTCAATTGGTCCAAAGTACCCTTTCCACTACACCACACAGTGAGATTTCTTGTGCTCGTTTCGGGACTATTGTGGTTCAACGAGTGATTAATAAGCTTAACATCCCCGTCCTTGAGGATTCCCATATGGTAGCTATTCAAATCTTCCACACCACCAACATTATTCTCGCAGATAATCGCAAGTTCAACTTTAGTGGCTCAATTCCGGAATCCATGCTTCGAGATGTTCCAGCTGCAAGTGACATACTACGAGCCTATGGTAGTCTACCAGTCTCTAGTTTTCTCCCAATAACTGATGAAGTCCAAAAGATCCTTGCCGAGGCAGTTAAACCAAAGAAGGGTGGAAAGAATAGAGGTGTGAAAGCTGGTCCATCTGAACCTCCTCAAGCTTCAAAAAAGAAGGCGGTAAAGAAACCGGCTAGCAGGCCACAAACTCCAACACCGAGTAACCACGACGACTCGCAGTCAAACACGGTTTCGGAGGTGCTAGTCCAAGGGGGTACTCACAATGAACATGATGACACTTGCTGCTACATCTTAACCCGAGTCTCGCAGCCAATCTCTTCTAATCCTTAGGTAACTTTTGAAATTCCTACCTCTGTTCCTATCAGAGATGATTGTATCTATAGGGTTTCGCAACAACAAACTACTCTAGCACAGTCAACCCCATTATTCACAGATTCAACACCCACTATAACAACTACCATCGATGAACCTCCAATGTTTTCCAAGGCATCTAATGTGGGGGCAGGTGCTTCAGGTTTCACATTCAGTCATTCTACACAACCCATCTCACCTCTTTGCCAAAACGATCCAGATACAATTTTTGGTGAACATGAAGAGGATTTTGGATGTTTCGCCTACATTTCCTTCAACATTAGGACTGAAAGTGATGATGATACTCTGGTCACCAAAACGAAACTCAAGGATATTAACGAGAAGCTGGATTCGCTAATTAAAGCCTCTAAAACCTTAACTAGCGATGAGTATTCTCAGGCAAAGATCAAGTCTTTTCTTGAGACCCTCACCAAAGAACACCCTACAAATCTAGATATGACCAATATAGTTGTTGATGCTTCAACTTCAGTTTGTAAGGAAATGATGGAAAAAGTTGATAAACTAATCACTAATGCTTGATCGTTCATGAGCACTTTCCAGACATCATTTGTTTCGAATACTACGAAAGCAAACGAAGCCATATCCAGTTTGAGTACATCCCTTCGAACAGAGAATAAGGATCTAGAGAAGGTTAGAATTAACATCAAATTCGACAACTCAGAGATCAACTCCTCCATCACATAAAAAATAGAAAAGATTCAAGATGACTTGGACATGGAGAGCAAAATAATGGATGCTCTCGCACTCAAGATAGAAAAAGTGAAGGTTTTAACTGTTAAGCTGGAGCATGCTGAGAAGAAGATCAGTGAGCTCTTATCTGAAAAGGTTGTAATGAAGAGTTGTGTTGCTGATGTAAACGCCTTGCTCTCTGACATAATAGAGACTCGTGACTTTATGATCACGATTACTGTTAAGAAGCACTTGGCTGAAAAGCTTCGCCCCGTGTTCGCTATGCTCAATAGGTTAGAAGGTATATCAAGGTCAAGCTCACTTCTGAAGCAAGGGGGAGAGACTATGAAGAAATCAAAGAAAGAAATCCCAAAACCAATTGAAAAGCCAACTACAAAGCCAAAATCAGAAAACAAACCGATGGATAATGTAGCTTCGGATTCGAAAGGCAAAGAGAATCTCAATAATGAACCAATTATTGATGATAGCAATGAAGAAGAGCCCGATGAGCACGAACTAAAAAGAAAGAAGACTCGTCAAGCTCGAATCAATGAGCACAATCGAATTGTGAGAGAGGCTGAAGAAAAAGAGAGGGCTAAACGCGAAGCTCAAGTCAGAATGGAAAGCCGAAAGCTTTTGTTTCCATTGTGGACTTTGGATAGAATGATGAGTGCGATTATAGATCTTCCAAGCTAGTATTAGTTAGAGCTAGTTGTATCCTTTGATTTGCAAAACACTCAAGATTCGCAGCTGGATCTTCTAATCACTCTGAAAGCATTCAAGTTTCGGAGCTTCGTCAAAGTTGCAAAAATCCCTCTAACAGATAGCGGTGTAGATCACTTGCTCTTCTCATTCTACCTAAAGCACATGAAGCCGCATTACGAAATCTGGAGTGCAATGAAGATAACTATTGTGAAGGTTTCAGGCCCAATCGAAATTGATAGCTTCCCGAATGCTCGCTTTAATATTTACATGTGATTCACATATAAATCACAAGTGAATCACATATGAATTACATGTGATTCACATGTAAGTCACAAGTGAATCACATATGAATTACATGTGATTCACATTTAAGTCACATATGATTCACCTTTAAATCACATGTGATTTACATGTAAATCATAAGTGAATTACATGTAATTCACATGAAAATTACATGTAATTCACATATGACTCGCATATAAATCACATGTAATTCAAATGTGATTCAAATATGAATTACATGTGATTCACATGTAAATCATATGTAATTCACATATAAATTTTAAAAGATACAATAATATGTGAATATCATATTATAAAATCACATCTGAATCATACATGATATATACATGTGCATTTTTGTGAGTGTTCTTGAATTAATCGAATTTTTTTAATTTTCTTGTGGATTTTGAAGAATTTGTGGAAAATATTGAAGATGTGAAAAGTGATAAATTGAAGAAAATATGGAAATATAGATATGAAGAAATGATAACTATGAATCTTCATAACATTTTTTATTTTTTATATTTTATTTTGTATCGAATAATATACTTGTATTTTTATGTTTATAGATTGATTAATATAAGGATATATTTTATGATTTACTTACGAACATTATAGTATAAGAAATATGGATATATGCACCTAAATCGTTGTTTTTTTTTTGTTAAAAAATTAGAGTTTTTTTTAAACTATTGATTTATAAAAATTCACTTTTTTCAAAAAATGCATTTTTTTTAAAAAAAAAATTAGATTTTATGAAAAAATTGCATTTTTTTTTAAATGCATTTTTTTTTATTTTTAAATTGCAGTTTTTTGAAAAAAAAAATACAGTTTTTTTATAAAAAAATTGCAGTTTTTTAAAAATATTGTGATTTTTTTGAAAAAAAAAATTTGAAGCTTTTTCGAAAAAATTGACCTTTTTTAGAATTTTTTTTTTCAAGTTTTTGTAAAAAAAAAAATTCTAAAAAAAATTAAAAAATCTCCATTTAAAAAAATCGAATTTTCTTTTTTTAAATATCCGAAATTTGATTTATCATGCTAATTTTTAGAACTCTTTATTAATATTTCAAATAACAAAAAAAATTAAATATTAAATAAGATCGGTAAGATAACAATCATGCCCTTAATGAGTTAACTTTGATCTAACGCTCCACATTTAATTTTCAGGTTCTCGGAAAACTATGAGCTTTCAATGGATGTCACCCATATATATATATATATATATATATATATATATATATATATATATATATATATATATATATATATATATATATATATATATATATATATATATATATATATATATATATATATATATGAGAGAGAGAGAGAGAGCAATCATCATAAACCACAAAGATCAATAAGAGAATCATGAATTAGTTCCAAAAAAGGCCAAACTTGAATTAAAGAAAAAGATTGTATAAATAAAATTATTTTCTCATATCGCCATGCCAAACGAGTTTACTATTACCACAAACTAAAACAAATGCAAATTTTCATAATTTGCAACACAACCTGGCAATAGACCAATAACATACAGATATATCCTCAAATTGTTGGCAATTCCATACCAAAATACACGGAAGAATCATTGCTTCTCAATAATTACGAATCATTAATTGACATAGAATCTTAAAGGATGAAAAAGTAAGTTATATAAATGCAATACCCTTGGACTGCATAATTGTTGAGTTGAGCATACTCCATATCAACCTTCCAGCAACAGTAATGAAAGCAAATCAGGCTCTCGCCCAAATGGTTATTCTTCTTATTACCAAATATGTATTTAATGGATGGGATAAATCAGCATACTTCCATTTATTTTCTCAGTTAGAGCATTGTAAGTTGAAAAATATAGGTCCACCCCTCAATAATAGCAAATTATCAATGTCATCCAAGTACTAACAATTTCCACCACTCAAATAGTATAATTGGGTAGATTTTTAAAAATTTAATTCCCCCACAAAAAAAGAGAAAAATAAAATAACCCTCGAAAGTACAACGTTATAATTGTGTGGAAATTTCATATTACAATTCCTTAATAATCATATAAGCGTACAATATTGCCATAGAAAAGAATGAATAAATAACTTAGTAGAATGATGCCCAATATGTAATCAAGAAAAAGACATGATAATCCATAACATCAGATAAGCTTTTTGTTTTCAGCATGCACATTTAAATAACTTAATCATAAATAAGATACTGTCAATAAGATTAGCAAAAATAAATTCCAAACTATCACCAATAATCTCTACAAGAACAAACTCCATTTTCAAATTGATGAAACCTCTTTTTATCACGTACAATAATTAGTCTCCCAACCAGCTTCGAAATAATCTTGATTGCCTCATGGCAATCAGCACAAATACGATCATTTTTCAATATCCGTATTGATGAACGGGCTGGAGTAGTCAAAAGAGCTTGAGATAAAGCAAGTCTTTCACTATGTAATAAAAGAGCTTCTTCTCTATTTTCATGGTCCATATCATGGAGTACAAATCTAGTCTGAGCCAGATACCCGGCCTCTATCATGGCTTGTTTTAGATACCTAAGTTGACTGTATAACCTCTCTTGATCAGGATGAGAAGTATCCCCGCTCCTAAACTGAAAAGTCATGGCTCTGCTAATCAACTCTGATGACATCTTTTTTTCGTTTTCTTTTGCAATATCTGAAGACTTTATTGGTATCAAGCCAGATTTTGTTTGTTCATCTAAACGAGAAGGTTCCCGAAGGTTAAGAATCTCAGCACAACGGTCTCCGAGTTCTAAATCACCGTGAACCCTAGATTGATTCATCATAATTTCCCAAATTTCTGCACTTGGCTTCAGCGGCATCTTTTCTATTAATTCCAATGCTTCATTTAAGTATCCTGAACTCCCGAGCATATCGACTACACGGACATAATCATCCATAGATGGGACAAGATTGTAAGTCTTCATCATTGACTTGAAATGCAATAGCCCGAGTTTCATGTCTCCTACGATATTACATGCAGCAAGGATACCATGAAACATCTGATTATTGGGTTTTAATCCGACCTTTTTGAATTCGGTGAACATTTTGATTGCATCTTCTCCATGGCCGTTTTTAGCAAACCCTTTTCTCATGGTGTCCCACGAAGCAAGATTTCTTTGGGGCATTTTCTCAAAGAAATTATATGCGTCTTCCATGGAACCACATTTCGAATACATTTCCAAGATTTTGTTGCAAATGTGAACATCAAGATGATGTCCTGACCTTGTGAGGTGGTTATGGACAAGTTTAGCTTCTTTAAGTGCCTGAGATTCTCCACATGCTTTCATCAAGAATAGATATCCAAGCATTTCAACTGATACTTTGTTCAGCTAAACCCAAAAACTCCACAACTTCTTTTAATTTCTGATCCATGCATATAGCATTAAGCTCCTCAAGTAATCCCTTTTGCTCACCAGCTTTATCCGACTTCTCATTAGGTTGAGAGTAACATGGTACTTGAGAATTTACTATGCCACTATAACACCTCTTTGAGATTTGAAAACTCGCTACACTAGTCTTCTGATTATAAGACCCATTGATGTTATACTGGCTGTCACGATGGAAACCATAATCACCCATGGAATAGCTCTGCCCATAAGCGCCACTTAAATTTCTCTGAAAACCCATGCAAGTTTGTCTATAAAATCCATCAGGGTTTTGGCTACATTCACTAAACTGATTAGAGTTTTGGAGATCAAAGATCTCATCGATGGTATCAGAATTGAGCGTGCTGAATTTTTTAACAAAAGGAAGGGATTTGAAGGAACTATCTACGCAATAACTGTGTCAAGTATTTGTAGCATTGCATACCTTATAGAGATGATTCAGAGATTTCATCGTTTGGAATGACCTCACTGTTGCTTGAAACATGATTTGCTCGTAGAAGTTAATCGACTTCCGTCTGTGTTTTTTTACGCGGCCACAAAGGGATTGATACGCCGTTTCCAATCTAGGTTCTCTAATCGACGTCGACTACTTCATACCATATATGAAGTCTAGAATTATATGAACCGAAAATATCATATATCATATCAAATTTGAAAAAAGATTTGCTTGGCTGCATCTTAACAACCTCAACAAGAAAAACGGAATACAGAATATACATCCGTCACAAAATTATAGTCCATCTTTCCTTTTTGGTTTGTCCCAAAATAATAGTACACTTTTAAAAATAATTTTTTTTACCAAAATACCCCTTCATTATTATTTAACCAACTAAACATTTAATGGAACATTAAACGCAAAGTAAGGACAAAACTGTCATTTTATTATATAAAATTAATGGTAATTAATGTTTTTTAATCTGTGTGTTTTTTATCTGTGGACAATAATATTGGAACGGATGGAGTATATGTTATAAAAAGTGTAAGTATTAATTTGAATTTTCTAATATATTAATTTCTTTATTATTTAGTTTTAATAAATAACTATTCAATTAATATATATACATTAATTCTCAAAAGATTAGGGAACAATAAAGTTTCTGTGTTATAGATATATTATCACGGAACTTTTTGATTCTTACAATCTTTGATATTTTGTTGTAAAGGTTTGTGGTCTTCCTAATTTAGTCGAAATATTTTCCACAATTTGGTAAGTTTACTCCCTACCGCCTTCTACTCCAATCAGACCCTTCTTCCGCCTTTACATTTTTTTAATATAAGGCATCCACCGATCTCCTCACCCAAAACTCGCTAGTTTGTGCCTTTGACGATTATGCAATCGACGGCAATGTTTGATTTTACAAACTTTACCGATTGGCGTAACCCTCACCGATGCAAATGGAAATCTCCTTCATCACACCGAAATTGTGTCCTAAACCCGTTTCATCTGGGAGCCCAACTTCAAGGATTTTGATCATATGTACACACGTTTTTTAAGCTCTAAAGACACCATTTTGATCTGTTTCGGTTGAAGGATCGTTGAAGTCGATTTGATACTAAGGTATGTACGTTTAATAAATGACAATGAAAGTTTCGATGGTTGTTTTTTTTCAAGATATGGAGAAGAGGAACAAGTTAACTCAAAATTTTGATGTTTTGAACATAAATATTAAGTTAACTCAAAATTTTGATGTTTTGAACATAAATATTTGTATTTTTTTCGTTTTTTATTATTAATTGAATATTTGAGGAACCTAACTGGTACAACTGAATTTGATAGTCAGTCGATTTCCACCTTTGTGCTCCGTGAAAATTTTAGATAACTATGTTGTTTATATGAATATAAATCTGAACTTCATTCATGTGATCTATGATCTAAAATCCAAAACAAATAAATAGAAATAACCTCTACTTTAGTGATAAGTAAGAAGCTATATTTACTAGCTCCTCTATTTAAATTTATGACATTACAAAAAAACTCATGTACAATCAATATTTATTTTTCATAGATTATTCCAGATTTTAACCCTTTACAGTAAGGTGTTGGATTAGGTGTCTAAACTTATAACTATAATTGATATAAACTTGAATTGATGGTAGCACAGTTCTTTTGGATTGCGCTCAAAACTAGCAGTTAATGATTTTTGGAGAGAGAAGTTGATTTATTATTTGATTAAAAAATTGAAATAAATGACTTGTTAATATATTATGGGAAAAATATATTAATTAGAAATAGTATTATGTAATTAGTAATTAATCAAAAACTAATTGGAATTAATTTTTGAATTAATTGAACTAATTAAAAGTACAGGGATAGTTTGGCAATTTATTGATAGTTAAGGAAAAAAGCTCTATGGAAGATGTTTGACGAAAACTTCTAGGAAAGGCTTAGAATTTTCTTCCAAGGGGTGTTGAATGGAAGCTCATGGGCTGCTTGTTCTCTAAGCTAAGGGATTAGGGTTCCTTCCTCAAACCCTAGTTTTGGCTCTATGCTATCTCACATATATAAAGAGCCTTAACCCCTCATAATTTTGGCCATCCCTTCTCTAAGAGAATTATGAAATTCCCTTATCCTTTCTCATCTCTTATCTTCTTTCTAGTGTTGGGTGTGAACCATTAAAAGCACACCATTTGTGGTATTTGCTCTCAAGGCTTCAACAACACAAGGATTTTGTTATTTGTCAATAACAATCAAGGTATGTTTTCCTAACCCTAGATAGTAATTTCAAAATATAGTAGGTGCCCGGTTTCTTATTTAATGTTCAATTAGAGAAAAATATAGATCAATAATTAGGGTTGCACGCACACATTGGATTTTTGTTTGTTATACTCAAAACTCATCATAAGGGACATTTTATTAACTTATAGTTCATGCCGTTATGTTGCTAAATTATTATTGGAATGAGATGAACAACTTTCATATTAGTAATAAGCTTTAATGGTTGATAGAATATTTATTTGTGAAATCAAGGTTGCATAGTAATCCTTACAATAGCATCTTTGGATATATCTTTTGATGATATGATTAAATATAGGCATAGTGGTGGCAGTCGAGGTCAAGGCAGATCATCTTCACTTGAATAAACAAATGCTCCCAGGATGGTTCTTTAGGGTCGTTAACAACCTACTTCAGGTTTATGAGCCACTTATACGATTGTAATCATATATGGCTTTTTTGTGTTTCTACATCTTTTATGTTTTGAATTTTCACTTGATTTAGTTTCTTATAAATAAATCCATGATTTTATATTTGACATTTTCCGGTACATTATCAGTTGTGATTCATGGCTGATGCTTTTTTTTTTGGGGTTAGACTTGTTCTTCTGTTCTTACTAATTCCAATCTAGTCAATACATTGAAGAAATAATCTATTATTTGCTTTTAAAATGCTAACAAGATTATATATTTGGTACCAAGTAAACCTTAGTAAACTATTATGGGAAATTTTTTGAAAGATAAAGGTATACTTATGAATCCATGCATTTTTTTATAACCTTTTATAAATATATATTTTAGTATCCACGCCAATGGCGCCAAGTTATTTTTACTAGTTTGGTATAAATTTTTAAATTTTAGTTTACTATGTTTAATTTGTTAATTCAAAAATATTATTAAATATAAAATCTAATTTTAAATGACCAAGAAACCAAAAACTATCAAAATACTATTTTTTAAAATAATTGGAAATTTTAAAAAATAATCTTATTTATAAAACATAAATTGAAAATCATGAAATTTTTTTCAAAGATGTAAAGTATGAATTAATTAAAGTTAGCAACAGTTCAAAACTAGTGTTGATGATGGACCGGCGTGATAAAAAAATATTGATTTTTACTTTCTTTTGTATCATCATTTTGTAATTCGTTCACATATTAGCATTGTATAATGACAAATCTATCCATTTTGAAAAATATGATTTCCTAGAAGATTTAAAAAAAAAAAATACCAAAATGACCATCAAAGTTTTACATTGCACCACATCTGAACAACATCTAAGGAACTTTTTAATTCTCTTGCCAACCGTACTCTTATACAATTATACATGCTTGAGAAATCCTAGAATACTTGACGATAAAAAAAAATTAAAAAAAATAAAAAAAAAAAAAGAAAAAGAAAACAATAATACCCATTATTCTTATTTTTCCACCAAACATCCCTCTGTTTAAGAGTTATATGCTAGAAATATATATATATATATATATATATATATATATATATATATATATATATATATATATATATCTTAGGCATAATTTTGATGAAAATAACCAAACACATGACAATAATGCCCTTTATTTCTAATATTCTTATTGGCCCTTTTTATCTAGTTTTAATTACACCCACAAATTAAAAATAAAACAAATAACATTGTTCAATTATAAAAGGACAACCTGCCAAAATTGAAAACACCATAATCTCATCATCAGTCAAGGTAACAAGGTCACTAAAAACACAAATTATGATAAAATGTTAGAATATGTATCAGGCTTGAAATGTCACAACTAGCATTTTACCTAGGAAATTTCACTCAGTGGTCATTTAAATTCACCTTTAATGTTCAACGTAGAGTCTGAAAGCTCTAGGAATCCCGGTTTGAATCCAAATTGCACTAGGATTTCTTTATTGAGCCTAATGGACCAATAAGTATTTAATTCAACTATTTTTGATCTTAGGACCCTTAAATGGGTTATAATTGGACCCACTTCCATAAACCTATAACATTTTGGACCATTCAGGCCTAGAAGGATTCCTTCTAACCCTAATGGGCCTTATTGGGCCATAACTAATCCAATTAACCCTAGTAAGCCATAAATCTATTCTTTTATGCCATTTTGGGCCATGAACCATCTAATGAGCCCACTTGGATGAAAACGTACCTATTGGCCTCATAATTTCAAGTAAGGATCAAGATTTGGACCAAAATGAATCATCTTCTCGTTCTTAATGTAGTTTTCGGCCCAACAACATTTAACAAAAAAAAAGAAATGGGGGGGGGGGGGTGTTGACTTTTGGAAGTGCCACCTCCATATTATTCACCATGTAACTAGGCATAGTCTCTTATACTTCCATGCAAGGTCATCTCATGTGACAACCTGGAATTTCTTCCGTTCAAACCGTTAAAAAGATATAAATCAATTCGGAATTTATTTCTGCTCTTGTCAGCATTATCTCGGGTCTAATTAAATATTCTAAACTCAGTGCAATCGAGGTTTGGGTCCAAGAACGAGTTTTTCCATGTCAAAGCATAGCATCCGGGCCAAACACCCCTTTGAGAGGAGTGTACGGCCGCAAACTCGAGTGTACGGCCGTACACCCACCACCCCACCTCTTGGCCGAAAACTCACCCCTATATAAGGGATGGGTGGCCTTCATTCCACACTTTACACACTCCAAAGAATTTCTCTCTCTATTCTTTCTCTACAATTATCGAGTTTGCTCAATAATCCTCAAAATTGTAAGTGATTCTTCACTTTTATTGTGTTTTAATCTCTTTTCTAGTGTTAAAACCATGTTTCATCCCATTTAATCTCATCTTTATCTAGATTTTCTCTCTCACGAAGAACACACAGTAGTTCTTGGTGGTTTAAAACCTCATTCAAGCCTCCTAAGTGTAAGTATCTACTCCATATGCTTGATATCTACTAGAATTCATTGATTTTCACCAAAAAATCGACCAAAATCTTGAACACAAAAGGGGTTTACGGCCGTACACCCTTCATTGGCCGAGAACTCCAATTTTGGTCAATTATTGGTTTTAAACTCTTCCTTAAAACTATTCATGGACTTAGAACACTTACAAGAAGCTAGAAAGGACCCCGGAACACCGAAAATCACACCTTTCATCAAGTGTTTACGGCCGTAAACCCATGTACCACAAACACTTTGGCCGTAAAATCATGGGTCGTAAACCTTGTTGGGTCGCAAACCCATGACCGTACACTCCTGATTACGGCCGCAAACTTCCCATCTTCAATCACGTATGATTCTAACACTTAATTTCAAGTGTTTCCTAGTCCCTAAGGTGGTTTCTTTCCATAACAAATAGTGTTATGTCCTCATCTAATACATACATGTGCTTTTATATGTTAAATAGGATTTGTTTGTATCCGAGGCAATTTTTGACACCCAACAACTCTTATTGATTTACACTCGAATCCCACGTCAAACTGTGAGTTCATACCCCTACACTTTTATAAGTTTTTATAACGTTTTCAGGGGGAATACAAGCCACACATAAAGGTTTTCACAAGTTAAAAACTGATGCAATTACAAAGGTTTTACATCAAACTTTTAGATAATTTATCTCTTTTGTATTATGCGAAGCATAAGGGACGTTTTTCTAAAGATGATTGCATAGTTTTCGGAACAGTATACGAATACAACTCACCAGTCAAACTATAATAGGTATAGTTTGGGGAATTCATTACCGGTTTCACAAATTCAAACTTCGTACAAAGTCAAACATATAAACTATGAC